GAAATCAGAGAAACACCACCCTTTACAATAGCCACAAACAACATAAAATATCTTGGGGTAACCCTAATTAAACAAATGAAAGACCTATATAACAAGAACTTTAAGTCTTTGAAGAAATAAATTAAAAAAGACATCAGAAGATTGAAAGATCTCCCATGTTCTTGGATAGGTAGGATTAACATAGTAAAAATGGCAATCTTACCAAAAGCAATCTACAGATTCAATGCAATCTCCATCAAAATCCCAGCACAATTTTTCATAGACCTTGAAAGGATAATACCCAATTTCATATGGGAAAACAAGAAACTCAGGATAGCTAAAACAATCCTGTACAATAAAATAACTTCTGGAGGCATCACGATACCTAACTTCAAACTCTACTATAGAACTACAATAATGAAAAAAGCTTGGGGACAGGTTGACCAACAGAATTGATTTGAAGGCCCTGATATCAATCCAAACACCAATGAACTCTTGAATTTTTGACAAAGATACTAAAAAAATAAAATGGAAAAAAGAAAACATCTTCAACAAATGGTGCTGGTATAACTGGAGGTCAACAGGTAGAGGAATGCAAATAGATCCATATCTATTGCCATGCACACAACTCAAGACCAAGTGGATCAAAGACCTCAACATTAAAACAACCTGATAGAAGACAAAGTGGGAAGTAACTTTGAATGCATTGCACAGGAGACCTCTTCCTAAATATAATACCAGTAGCACAGACACTGAGAGCAACAATTAATAAATGGTACCTCCTAAAACTGAGAAGCTTCTGTAGAGCAAAGAACATGGTCAACAAGACAAAAGGGCAGCCTGCAGAATGAGAAAAGATCTTCACCAACCCCACATCTGACAGAGGGTCGATCTCCAAAATATACAAAGAACTCAAGTAACTAGACATCAAAAGACCAAGTAATCCAATACAAAAAATGGGGTATATATCTAAAAAGAGAACTCTCAACAGAGTTATCTCAAATGGCCAAAAGACACTTAAGGAAATGCTCAACATCTCTGGTTAACAGAGAAATGCAAATCAAACAATTCAGAATCTGATTTACACCTGTCAGAATGACTAAGATCAAAAACTCTGATGACAGCTTATGTTGGAGAGGATGTGGAGCAAAGGGAACACTTCTCTACTGCTGATGGGAGTACAAACTTGTACAGCCACACTGGGAATCAGTATGGTGGTTTCTCAGAAAACTGTGAATCAGTTTACCTCAAGACGCAACAATACCCTCTTGGGCATATACCTAAAGGATGCACAATCATACCATAAGGACACTTGCTCAACTGTGTTCATAGCAGTATTATTCATAATAGCCAGAACCTGGAATCAACCTAGATGTCCCTCAATCAAAGAATACATAAGGAAAATGTGGTACATTTGCACAATGAAGTACTACTCAGTAGTGAAAAACAATGACATCTTGAAATTTGCAGGTAAATGAAAGGAACTAGATAAAGCCATCCTGAGTAAGATAACCAGACCCAGAAAGACAAATAATTTGTACTCACTCATAAGTGGCTATTAGGATATTAGACATAAAGCAAAGGTTGAACAGCCTACAGGTCTCAACCCCAGAGAACCTAGTTAACAAAGAGAGACCTAAGAGAGACATACATGGATCTGCCTAGGAAGGGGAAAAAGACAAGATCTCCTGAGTAAATTTGGAGCATGGGGCCAGGGGAGAGGGTGGAAGAGAGAGAAGGAGGGAAGGGGAGTTGGGGAAAATGTATAGCTCAATAAAAAATAGCAGAAAAAAACAAAAGTACAGTTTTGGGGGGTTTTTGATATTCATTATTTTTTATATAATTGAATTACAAACAAGATTGAATTACATGTCAATCCCAGTTCCCAAAAGTACAGTTTTAATGCACATACTCAGAGCACATATTATGCACAAGATACATTAAAAGCCACTGTGCAACCAGGATTCCAAAAGCCACCTCTGCTCTAAAGAAAATGTGCCCCAGAAACAATGTGATATCCTGGTGCTTGCTCACCTTTTGCCTAAGTAACAGAAAGTAAAGTCAGAAAGCTCGTCACAGACTAGGTAACCCTTGATACAGAAGCTACAATGTGACCTAGTGGCAGAAGAGCAGTGCAGTGTGGCTGCTTCATGAAGGTTATCTCATGAACATGCACAGAGACTGGGCCATTAGTGTCTGGCAGGTAGATAGGGATACGGCAGGATGGATGAGTCGGGATGCTGAGGGAGATGAAGCTAAAAGGTGGGATGGGCCAAGCTGCAATACTAGAGATGAGGAAGAGGAGTGTGGCAAGGGTCTCCACCACCCGCCTGTGTGCAGTGTGCAGACATTAGGCTAAAGGCACTGGACATCCTACTGCCGTGCTCACTACTTACACCACACCATGAAGGAAGGAAGATACAACTCCATAACAGCAAGCTTCGTTAGGTCCCTCACTGAGCTCTGAGTTGAGTGCTTTGCCTAAGTTACACAGCTAGAGCCGTGCCCTTCTTATTTCTAGGCTTCTGTCCTTAACCACATCCCTGGGCAATATATACAGAAAGCTCTCTCCAGTGGCAGAGATAGTGAGATGCAAGGAGACCACAGGTCTGACTACATTACCTGCCCCAATGGGGCCCTACACTAATGCACTGGACTAGCCTGAGGAAGTGTTCCAGAGAGAATGTGATGGTAAAGACGGAGAGCTCATCATGAGGAGGTGGGGGCAAAGAGGAGGAGGGAGAAAGCAAAACAATTTTCCAGCTGAGATGTACAATTCTAAGAAGAAATGGGACAGTGAAAGATGTCCACCTGAGGGGCTGGAGAGATGGCTCAGAGGTTAAGAGCACTGGCTGCTCTTCCAGAGGTCCTGAGTTCAATTCCCAGTAGCCACATGGTAGCTCACAACCATCTGTAATGAGATATGGTGCCCTCTTCTGGCCTGCAGGCATATACGGAAGCATAATGTTGTATATGTAATAAATAAATAAATAAATAAATATTTGAAAAAAAATGTCATCTACCTGAGACTGCCACAGGACACTCAGGCTAAAAAAATGTAAGTGAGCATGCAGTCCTGAAATAGAGGCAAGGCAAAATCTGAACAGACTCAAACTACAATGGAGAAAGCAGCCTTGTAGGAGTGAATGATGGTTCTTCAGGAGAAGGAAGAAACCAACATCAAAAGAGACTGACACAGATCAACCTGAAACTCAGAGGAGAGCCACAAAGGATGTGACCAAGGGGTCAAGGAAGAAGCGATCAGGTCAGATGGGTGGCATGGCCACAGAGGCCTAATGTCATTGTAATATACAATTCAGTACTGTTAATTGTAGTCATCCTTCCCCTTCAGCGTGGAATGCCAGGATGCATTCCTCCTGTCTGACTGTGACTTTCTCCACAGCTAGTCTCTCTCACCTCCCTCTACTCTGCCCTCCCTGACTTCTGGCCACCTCTGTTGTACTGGCTAAGTCAATGGGCCCAATGAGATTCCAGAGAAAAACTGTGTAGTGTGTGCCTTTGTGTGCCTCGCTTCTTTCATTTAACACAATGATCTCAGGAACACAATGTATAAATGTCCCAAATGTACATCATGGAGATGTGTAACTGTCTACCCATGAAAAAAAAAGTAATTACTGATAAGTAAGGAGGGAAGAGCCACTGAAAGCCACTTGGGATAAGAAAGGTTGAGTGATTTAGCCCTCATGATGATATTTGTGTAGTAACAAAGCCAGATGCACGACCAGTGACACTTCTGGGAGGAAGAACTAAACAGGGCTTGATGCCACCATAGGCATTTTCCAAAAGTGGCTAAGGAGGACAAGAACTTTTCCAGGAGATATGTGAGGGTCAAGTTTGCTTTCTATTTCCTAATTCATCAGTGAGATTTGAGAAGTCTCAATGATTACAGAGAAAACAGCTCTGCTGAAAGCCTGGAAATCGAGGGCGGCAGAACTGTAAATGAACCGAGCTTCCAGAGGCAGCAAGAGATTGACCAATACATTGCTCGAGTGTCCGCTGTGGGATAGGAACTCCACTAGTGACCCAAGGTGCCCAAAATAGTTCAAATTGCTCCTTGAGGAGAGATTCCAGGGGAAAGAGCAGACCCTGCCCTGAACAGTGAAGCTGAGTTCAGGGAGAGGAAGCCTCCTGGATCAGTACCACAGGCTCCCAGGGAACATGCTGCCTGGCTGAGAAATAAAGGTTGATCAGTGCTTGTTTGCCTTAAAGATATCCAGGAAAAGGAAGCAATGTGTGTACATGTAGAGGGAGAGAGACAGAGTCAAGAGCCACAAAAGGCCAGTACTCCCATACCCAGAATGGTTTAGGAGATGGGGGTGGTAGTGAGAGAGTCAGGGGGAGAGAAAAAAGGAGTGTAGCCAGATCAAAACTCCACTTGAAGCTTACAACTGACTCCTAAGAGTACTGGAAATATTAAAGGTTGGGTGTGACATGACCAGATATGATCTTAAGGCCGATTACCACAGGAAGAATATAGGGGACAAGGTGGGGGTCCTAGCCAGGCCAGAGACAATGAAGGTAGAGAAGGAACAAGTAAGAGAATGAGTTATGAGGGAGGTAGACTCACCCTGACAGTTCAGGGGATTTTCTGGAAGGAATAATGTTGTGGTTTGCATTTATGAAATGTCCCCTACAGACTCCTGTATTTGAACATTTGATATCCAGCTGGAAGCATTGTTTTTATAAGCTTTGGGAGGCGGAGCAAAATGAATTGGGTTACGGGGCTGGGCGTTGAGGGGCAGTCTTGAGATTGTTATAGTCCAGCCCCAAGTCTGATTCACTCTGCAGTATGACCAGCCAGCTTCCTACCCCTGCCCAGTTCCTTTCCCCCGCTCCCTCCCACTTCTTCCTCATCATGGTGAAATGATCCTCTGAAACTGTAAACCAAAAGAAACCAGTCTCCGTTAAATTGTTCCTTGTTAGAAAGGTTACAACTACAAGAAAAGTAACTAAAACAGAGAACTCCTTCTCCAGGCTAAGGAGACAGGAATCACGCCTACCTGCTTGTAGTAATCCATGTACGTTATCTCAGAGCCATCCCGTTTCTGAAAGGCATGAGTAGGCTTCACAGACCAGTCAATGTCATCGATACGGTATGTTTTGTTGTTGTATCTGGTAAATTTAAGATACTTTGAAAACACTTTGCCAAATCTTAGCCTTAGGTGCATGGCTACCACACCACAATCTTGAGTTAACTCAAAATACAAGATCTACTCCTGAGATTGTGGAAGACACTGCTATAAGCAAAGTCACACTCTTGTGCCACATGATCAGCTCTTATCAGAGAAGAGTGTGACTTCTTCAGATCTCTGCATACCAACTGATGTACTCAGCGAGTCACAACCCACAGTGTTTGTCTCACCGACAGACTCTAGTCATCCTTAAACGTTCCAGTGATAACATTCCATTTGGCTTCCCTACCCTACTTTAGTGTCATACATCAACTCCCAGGCAATCTTCATGATAAAAAAAAAAATACCAATGCATGTGGCCCATCACACAATTCTGGAATCCTGTTACTCTCTCACCTTGGAATGGCCAAAAGTCAGCAAAACAAGAACCATTCCAAGTTCCTTTTCCCTTTTAGCACTATGGTCTCCTGTGGCCTGACCTGCAGCAGAGACCTCCCAGAGTTCCATGTACCTTAAAAGGTGTTTCCAGAAGAGTGTGGCAAGCTAATGCATCAAAATATACATGGGGCAGGGTGGGGGAGCACAGAGGAAGCATTCCTGTGCCTGGCAAGCTAGGCCGCCCCTCTGTTGTTCAGCCCAAGAAACCAGCTCTAAGATGAAAGTCCAGACCAGGCTAGCCACCAGGATGGCCCAGAAAGGAAATCAGTCTTTGACAAGCATTTGGGAACCCAGGAAGATTCCTAACTTGCTGGTGTTTTATTTGGCTCAATGTTCATTGAGGGCAAACTACACTGATAAACCTAGGAACCTGCAAAGGAGTAAGCAGCCCTTTGTCTAAAAGGCCTCAGAATCTCAAGGGGGCAGCAGTGGAGCACACATTCGGTCTTGTAATACAACAAATGACCATGAAGAGGTAGTCCTAAGTGGAGCATTACAGGAAGTGCTCAGAGAAGAGTGAATAAGTGGGGCCATCAGGAGCTCCAGAGCTGGGTTTGGGAAGGTAGAGATCTGAAAGGGGGATCTAGACACTGGGAACAAGGCAGAAGTACTGAAGCAACACAATGCAGGCTCCTGAGGGCCAGATGGAAGAGGAGGATGGCTCGAGAAAGCAAACAGCCATGTTGACTTGGGACAGTCCAGAAATCAGAAGTGACTACAGGGACAGACCTTCCACAGGGGAAAGCCAACTGACAACGCCCCTGCCCCCCAGTACTCTGGCCAATGTGACAGGAACATTCTGGATCCAAACACCCCTAAACATCCACTCTAGATAGCAGTGAGGGGCCAACCCTTACCGGGTAAGGACAATGAGCCCCACTAGCTGTTTCTGGCACGTCTCAGTGAAGTGGGACATGCCAGTTCGGAGGCAGAGATCAGTCATGAATTCCAGAACAGTCTCGTTTCGGAGGACTTTGTAGCTCACATCAGCATTTAACAGAAGTCTGCTTTCAAATCGGGACACAGAAACAGCAAACCCAGGCCACAGGGACAATCTTCAAAAACAAATAAAAAAAAAAAACAACAAACACAGTACTGAATATTAAAATCTACCACTGGGAAAACCTATAAACACTCTAATAGTGAGTTTTCATTCTAGTTCTCTGGAGGTCATGGCTTTGTTGTTATTTTGTCTGTTTCTTTTGTGTCATTTATTCCAGTTACTGACTAAAAACACTACCATTTTTCAGCTGGGGTTTCTTTAAACAGCTTTAGGATAAAATTCTTGTGAATAAATAAATTCAAACTGAGCTTCAGACCCTGCATTTCTGGTGGGAGCTGTCCCTGGCACTTCAGACCCTGCATTTCTGGTGGGAGCTGTGCTGGGTGTGCAGAGTGTTCACCAGATGTGTTTCTGAATGCAACACTCTGCTTTGTTGCCGGCTAATTGCAGAAAACTGAGTTCCAAGTTCCTTTTGGAATTTATGGCCTAGCACACTACCAAAGAACATAAACTTCTAGCTTTACATCTGGGTTCCCTATTCCCCAAAACAAACAAAACAAGAAAGAACACTTGAAAATTTCAAAAGCCCATTACATTCCATGTCCTAGACATGTGACACCTCATGGGAGGCAAAGCGGCAAGGTACTGTTTCATAAATTATACTGCTTAAGTCTTACCATTTCACAGGAACAGAAAATACAAAGAATCCTACTTGTACTGGGGGATCTCCACTGGTTCTGAAGGCTTATAGAAGTTCCGTCCAATTTGGTACATTTTCAACTTTTTAAAGATCCTGGAAGCATAGTTTTGGAATCTTTAGTAAATATTCATAACAGTGAGATTCAGCCTTTGGGGGCTGGGGAGACAGTGCAGTGAATGAAGTGCCTGTGACAGGAACCTAGAAGACTGAGTCTGGAACCCCAGTAACACAGAGTTATAATCCCAGTCGAGGCAGACACAGGAGAACCCTCCCAAGTTCAGGGGCCAACTGGCCTGATGCAGACAGCAATGAACAAGAACAAGAACTTGTCTCATACAAGGGAGATGAGGACCAGCAGAGGAGGCTATCCTCTGACCTCCACACACTAAGGCAAATGTGCACCCTCACACACACACACCCGATGGAACAAACACGAAGTATACATGAGTATATATTTTAAATAACTTTAATTCCATATCTTAAAATGATGTGGTTGACGTTTTATGCATTTAACTACAGCAATATGTGTAACTATAATTCTAGATAACTGTAACATTAAGACGTGCCATGTTGGGGTGGGGAGACATCCATGTATGTGGCTCTCTGGCCCCTCCCTATTTTGAAGGAAGAGGATGTTATTGATAAGCCATTGAAGTTCCCTGGGCGCCCCGTACCACTGTGACATTTTCTTCAGCAAGTGTCTATCCTGGTCACCTCTGGAAAGGGGTGGTGGTATCCAGTGCATGTGGAAATGGAAGCAGCTGAGTCAGAATACTGGAGTGTCAACTCTGGTGACTTGGCTACTGATGTCACAGAGGCCAGTCTCCCATATGTAAAGTAAGGGTTTGTGTAACAGTGCCTGCTCTAGTGAGCAAGGAACAGTATGATGAGCACCTTCCACATGTAGGCTGGTATAGCATAGTCCTCTCACCAGGGCACAGAGGGCCAGAGACTGGACAAGACATTTGACTAACTAGGAAATAGCATGTTACATAAGGAGGAAGTTACTTTATGTACCCAGACATTCTGGAAAGCCCCAAACTTTCTGACCCCCTCCCCTTCAGTCTGTTGTTGAGCAGAAGGTGGCATCTCTACAACAGGGCTCGAAACACAGTATCCTAACACATGCAGTGCTGAGTGGAACCACACACACACACACACACACACACACACACACACACTGTGTGGAACCTAAAACAGTGTTGAGTGGAACCTGACACACGAAGTGCTGAGTGGAATCTGATACACACACACACATAACACACACACACACACACACACACCACACACACACACATACA